GGAATCTCGCACCCGCCGCCCACTTCTCTTTGCCAGAGCCTGAGATACTGCACTCACCCTACTGTGCTGTGCCATGGGCCGGGCTGCTCAGCAGGGCGGCAGGAAGACGGGACACAGCAGCCTGGAGCGCTGAGCTACATTCCCAGTCCCCACTTTATTACATTATTTATTTGGGGGTTTTGAGACAGGGTCTCGCTATGGGGCCCAGGCTGGCCTTGAACTCGTGGAGCTCCTCCTGCTTCAGCCTCCCAGCCCTGCGATCACAGGTGTGGCCATGCGCCCAGCTGAATTCTTTCATCTGGACACGGCGTCTGACGAAGTTTCCTAGGCCAGCTTCCAGTGTGCGATCCTCCTGCCTCAGTCCAGTGGATCTGGGTGCCCACTTTGAGCTTCCGTCCTGGGGCGCAGCAGGAGAAGAAGGCACAGAGTTCACTGCACCTCTCACATGGGGAGGGAGCGACTCTGCAGTGCCAGCCTCGGGCTCGCAGGGCCCTCAGTAGCCCGCTGCCCTGGCTCCTCTAGGCCCTGCCAGGGCCTCAGTCTCTGCCTGCTGCGGCTGTGCGCTCAGGGCCGACCCTGCCTCTGTCGGAGCCCAGGGACCATGCCCCAGCCCCCACCAGTGCTGCCAAGGCCCGGGGGTGTCAGCTCCCCTAGGCCTCACAGACCCACCCGGGTCGGGTGACAAAGGCTGGGACGCTGGGGTCCCTGCTCCGCTCCTTTGAGGAGGGGGTGCTGCCTGACTTCCTGTCGATCTGTGACACGGAGGTGCCTGGTCAGCGCCTGGCTGTACCTGCACCAGGGCGGCCTGAGAAGCCACCACAGATGAAATTCGCATTTCCATTTTCATGCCGGTTCTCGCTGGCCTACGGAGATGCTGGCACCACGCGCAAGAATGCTGGAACAGCTCAGGGGTCCCAGTGGAGCTGCCCTGTGACTCCCGGGTTTATCTCCAGGACACACAGGAAGAGCAGCTCATCAGACGCCCCTCATCCGCCTCCCCCACCACGGGCTGGAACAGCTGCCATTACAGGAAGTGGGAAGCACTTGTCCTGTTCTCTGATGATCCCATCAGGGCCGCAGGATCAGGTGTCAGGCCGATGCCCTCCCTGTGGCCTGCCTGAGAGACTGGGGAGAGGCACAGCTCTCTCTCCTCCCTGGGCAGCTGCTTTTCAGCTTCTCAGTTTAAAGATGGGGAAACAGCCGAGCATGGCGATTATACATGTGTGTATAATCCCAGCACTCGGGAGGCTGAGGCAGGAGGATCGCTGAGAGTGTGAGGCCAGCCTGGGCTACTTAGGGAGACTCTGTCTAAAAAAAAAAAAAAAAAAAAAAAAAAAACTTAGAAAAGGAGAAGGGGAAGAAGAGGAAGAAGAAGAAAGAAATCTCCACATCCTAGGCAAGCCCTAGGCCCACCTTTTCCTAGCAACGCCAGCCCCGTGTCCATTGTTCAATCTGTTCACTCATCCTGAACCAGGTTTCAGGGCCCAGCTCTGGTCATCTAGAAATTGACACCATGCCAATCTCTGAGGCCGGTTTGGGGGATTAAGAGGAAAATGTATTTGAGAGGCATCCACGGACCCTGATATACAAAAGGGGCAACAATGACTTCCCACCGCCTTCCAAGGTTCCTCCTGGTTGACTTTTCTCTGATTCTACAAAGATATTTGCTGATGCTGGGTGTGAAAGAGGGGCTGGCAATGACTGCTCAAAGTGAGTCCGAGTACACTGGAATTTGCTTTTTTGAGACAAGATCTCTCTATGTAGCCCAGGCTGGCCTCGAACTTGTAGTGTTCCTCCTGCCTCAGCCTCCCGGGTGTGGGGATTGCAGGTGTGTGCTTCCTACAGGGTAACATGATGCAGCGTGCAGGGTAAGGCAGGGGCTCTGTGAGCCTCTCGCACCGGGAGAACAGGAAGAGGGCTGCTCAGCCCGTGCCGGGGTGTTTCCAGCGCCAGCTGCCATCTCGTCCTAGCCTCACAATCTGAGCAGTCCCTGCTTTTCCACGGGCAAGGAGAGGCGGGCTCAGCTCAGTGAATCCCTGAAAGGCGCTGGCCACCTCCTGCCTGTTGAAGAAGCTGCGAGGCAAAGCTGCATTCGCAGCGGCCTCTAGTGGCAGATCTGTGGAACAGCACACCAGCGCAGAAGGAATCTTCCTAGTGACCTAGATTTGGCCTGGATGGAGCTGAGTTCAGATCCTGCGGATGGAGGAAGACATCGAATTCCCGAGGGAAGACGACTCCCCTGGGTCTTACCGAGGACTCAGGCCGTGCTGTCCACACCCGTGCCCACTGCTGGCCAGCTGCGGTTCCAGAGACTTCCCTCTGACATCCGGGTTTCCCGGCCTTTCCCTAGAATCGGCACCAGTCTCTGAGGCCAAAGTCCATCACACCGCAAACCCCCAACTTTGACAAATGTACCTCTCATAGCCTTCTCCTCCCAACGCGGCCAGGATGTGGTACCCAGCAGGTCTCAGCGACAGCTCGGCTTGGCAGGACCTGGGCAGGAATCCTGTCTTACGCAGGGAAAGCCAGTTTGACATATTCTGGAGACACGATCCAAAAATAAATCAAGCAGAGGACTTTCAAGGGCTGAGCAGAAAGTTCTGCTGCCAGGAGAGATAAAGACTTTTTTTTTAGACAGGGTCTCACTCTATAGTTCAGGTTGGCCTTGAAATGTAGCCCAGGATGGCCAGGGATTTAGCTCAATGGTTCCGCTGCCTGCCTCACAAGCACAAGATCCTGAGTTCAATCCCTGGTACAAAAAGAAAAGAAAAGAAATGTAGCCCAGGCCAGCCTGGAACTTGTGGCAACCGTGCTGCCTTAGCCTCCTGAGTGCTGAGATCACAAGAGTGAGCCACCGTGCCCTGCTAAAGCCTGGATTTGTGACCCAGGGTACAGCTGGGTCTGCCCCTGATCAAGGGAATTCTGATTCACTCAGCAGTGATCTTAGAGCATGGCGGGGGGTGCTGGGGTGGGAAGAGAGTGAGGTCTGGGGTGCAGCTGGGTGGTAGAGCACTTGCCCGGCACGCAGCAGGTCCTGAGTTCCACCCTCAGCAGAGACAGACAGACAGACATATAGTAGCTTCAAGGGCACAGGTAACAACGGCTGGCATCTTCAGTGTTTTCTAAATGTTAGACTCTGTTCGACCCCATTTAACTTTCACAAAGCCTTATGAAGCTAGGGCTGCTACCCCCATTCCACAGTTGAGGAAAATGAAACTCGGGAAATGTTAAGGTTCACTGGGCTGCCCAGGGCTGGGCTGTCCCTTCCTGCAGTGCCACAGTGGCAGGCGCCACCTTCCCCAAATTTTCTGCAGTGTCCGCTGACCACGCCACATGGCGGCCACACAGGGATCCCAGAGCCACACGTGGTGGCTGATGGACACTAAAGAGGGCGCTGTTCTTTTGTATGTTTAGTCTGAGCAGTCAAAGCCGGAGCCCTGAAAACCCGCATCCTGACCTCGCCACTCTCACTGGGCTCCGGGTGGAGGCAGATGCAGGCACAGGCCTGGCTGTGCTATGGTCCTGTGTCAGGACCCCCAGCCCCATTCGTCATGGGTGTGACAGAAACACGCGGTCACCTCCTTGGGAGCTGCTCAGAAATTTGGACCCTACTGGGTGTGGTGGCGCACACCTGTGATCCCAGCACCCAGGAAGCTGAGGCAGGAGGACTGCCATGAGTTCAAGGCCACCCTGGGCTACATAGAGTTTGAGGCCAGCCTGAATTACAAATATAGCAAGACTTTGTCTCAAAAAAAAAAAAAAAAAAAAAAAAAAAGAAAAAAGTAATTTGGATCCTGGTGCTTTCGTGGTTTTGGTGTTATGTCACAGGGTCTCACTATGTGTGTAACCCAGGTTGGCCTTGAACTCCAAGTGACCCTCCTGCCTCAGCCTCGGTGCTGGGATTATAGGCGTGGACCACTCTTGGCTAGGCTCCCTCAGTGATTCCCAGTGGCGAGGTGGGAGAAGCGAGCCCTGTGATCACGCCCTGGGCCCTGGGGCACCCCTGTCTTCTTTCCTGGCCTAACCTCTCCCAGCTCAGCCTGCTGCAGCAGTCCTGCCGCCTCTTCACGTCTACTGGACATCAGTCCCGCTCAGAAGCTGCGCCCTCGCGTCCCCGCGTCCCCACCCAGGGAAGATTGCTCTAACGGGAACGGGTCCTGTCTCCAGCTGACTGCCTACCACCGCTCAGGATCACTCTGAGGTGGCATCCTGTGCCGACTTGGCCAGGACCTGTGGCCTTTGTGGGAACAAGGGCAGCATCCCCAAGCGACACGGAGCCTTCCTGATGTCAGTGGACAGTGGCGCTGCTGCCGCCCGGGCCCTGGGTGCCGGTGGGACCCGGGATTCTAGGAGCTCAGAGACCGGGTCTCATCCCCGCCCCACACGCAGCCCCGGTGTGCCCTCCTAGTCAGGCTGGAAGAAAACATCTCCATTGTTTTTGCACTCGAAAACCATCTCTGGGAAGTTACAAAGTCACTCACACAGTTTACTTGTGGGTGGGTTGTATTTTTCCAGTTGTTGAAAGGAGACAGGAAGATACAGAAGTTAAAAGACAAAGCTGGGTGTGGTAGGCCCGGATCACATAGCAAGATCTTGCTTCAAACACCAAAAGGCAAAACAGAACCACCGAACCCCACATAATACTTGAATCAGACCACACCGGTGATTTCAGCCATCAGCGGCATTTTATTCTGGGCGAGTGTATGTGTTACATAGGTATTAACTTCCCTGACCTGCTACTCCCTCCCATCAAGATTTTTTAAAAAGTCCAAAAATCTTTTATCTAATTTCTCAAAAGTCTTAATTGAAAGAACTGGGCGGTGCCTCCCCTTCCGAGGAGCTGCTTTCCCGAGTGAGGCCCGCCTGAGGCCCTGAGACGTCTGCTCCTTCTCGGGGAGGAAAGGGTCACTGCTTCTGCTCCCCGCTGCTCAGCTCCAGCTCTGCCATTGCATTGCCATTCCCCACTCGACACCTCCTCAGAACTTGATTGTTGGATGCACTTTTCACTTGGCAAGCATTCAATGTGGCTTTGCGTGGATGCTCAAGGGTCAGAACACAGAGCTGTGCTCTGGGTTTGAGGGAAAATGTAGGCAGACGCGTGCCGGGACAGAAATCTGTGAACGACCAGTCTGCACCCCTCTGATCTGAGGGCAAGGGAAAGGCAGGGATGGCGCAGTGCGGGAGCGGCACGAAGCCCCGAGAGACACCTCCAAGGATGGGTGCTGTCCCGGGCTCCCCCAGGCCAGTCCCGGGCAGAGCCCGAAGGGCGTTGTCTGAGCCCCGGGCTCACCTAAGGGGCGGCCACCTCTACCCAGAAGGGTACGCCTTCACGATCTTCACGTCGTCCACAGGCCGGTCCTGGGAGTTGGTCTCCACCATCCCCACGCGGTTCACCATGCCTATCCCCTGGCACACGCGGCCGAAGATGGTGTGCTTGCCGTCCAGCCACTGGGTGGGGGCCAGGGTCACAAAGAACTGGCTACCGTTGGTGTCCGGGCCTGCGTTGGCCATGGCGAGGATGCCAGCCCCTGGGGAGAGGGGACAGAGGGAGACGGTGAACGAGCCCCAGCACGGTGCAGCCCCGGGGACCACGCCCTCTGTCCCCACGAAGGTAGTCGCTGCGCCTCCCGTGACCTCAGCTCCCGTCACAGCCGCTCCCCAGCCGGCCAAGGTCCCCACTATCCTTGGCCCTTGTTACCAGCACCCCACAGCCAGCGCGGCCCCCTAGGCTTCTGGAGGACGCTTCTGACGTCCTCTGCTTTGTGGCGCTGGACGAGTGGCTGGGGCCAGGCCTCCCAGACCAGCCCTCAGAGCTCACGCCCGCTCGGGCCAACGCTCCTGGCACCACGCCTGGGTGTCGGGCGTCGCCTTGGATCCCAGCAGGACAGCGAGCTTTCCAAGCCAGCCCTCGGTCCCCGTCCCACACTCACCGGTGAACTTGAGGTCGGGGTGAAGTTCATCCTCAAACTGTTTGCCATAGATGGACGCGCCGCCGCGACCTGCCATCGGAGGAGGGGAAATGAGCCCGCCAGGGCCGGGGACTTCCCGGGGCAGGAGAGGGAGAGGCTGAGAGCGCGACCCGCTCCCGCCAGGCAGGACACAGCGCAGAACCAGCTGGGCACCCCTGGCTTCGTCCGGGTTAAGGCTCCACTTTCTTTCTTTTTGTGGAGCCAGAGATCAAACTCAGGACCTTGCACTTGCGAGGCAGGTGAGCCACTGAGCTACATCCCAGCAACACACCGCTTTTCCAGGTTTTCTCCTGCTTCCTAATATGGGTTTGCTATCAAAAATGCAGAACACAGAGCAAGAGCAAAAGGACACCGGAGCCCCGTATTCTAATCATGCACTGAACCTGACGTGTTAGGGGGTCTCGACGCTAACACCCCTGAGAGTTGAGCAGCCCCGAGCCCAGCAGAGCCCTCCGTCCCCCCTCTGTGCTTAGATGTCCCTGCGCCCCACCCTCCCAGGGCTCCGGCAGCTCCTCAAAGGGGCAGGGATGGCAGAGCTGAAACACATCCGCTGCCCTGACCCAGGGGAGGAAATCCTGCCTCGACCCCGCCGGAGGGCGACGTGAGCAGTGGTGAGGGGAGCGGTGACCGCGAGGACAGGAGGCGACGCAGCCCCGAGAGGAGACGAGGAGCAGGGCGGGGGCGGGACAGACGCGCCACTAAGTGCCGCCTCCCAGTCCACAGGCGCGCAGTCCAAGCCGGGCACCGGGGTCTGGGACCCGCGCCCTCAGGGCTCCCACAGGGAAACGCGCAGGCGTCACCCACTACCTCACCCCACATCGGCTTCTCCCAGCGCCCGGCCAGGGCCAGACACAGGTTCACCGCCAGCTCTGCCGGCCTCCCGGACACAGGGGCCTGGGCCCGGCTCGGGTCTCCATGGTAGTAAGGAGATACAGCAGCAAGGAGCAAGGCTCTCTACCTCTCAGGCTGCCCTACAGCGGCCCGGCCCGCAGGAAGCCTCGTCCTGGAGAGGAGCGGGCTGAACCCCAGGGCTGCCGACCAGGTGGAGCCGTCCAGCGCGGGCTGCCAGGGCTGTGCCTCCTCCA